AAAAAAAACAGTCGTTCAAAAGCAAACTTACTTAGAAATTCAATAAGCAGTATAGAACAAAGCGCAGGAGAGCCAGTCAAATACATCCTCTAAGGCATCTGTGTAAAGGTTTTGAAATTGACTAGAATACATCTTTCGTACTAGATTGGTTGCTAGGTTAAATAAATAGAAATAATTTTTAAGCTTTGTACTGTGTTCGATTGTAGAGTCAAAATTTAACAAACAAATTTTTTTGAATTTCGCATCTAATGATACTGTTTAAGCGACATTGTCTTGGCAACCAACGAATATCAGGCAACATAACTCATATTTTTCATTAACTGTCCTTTTAGCCGTCTTGAAAGATGTTTTTAAAATCCAACCTTAAATCCCTCCCAACGATTTTTAAAGTCAAAATTGGTTTCAAAGAACCATAAATTTCTTCTAAACAATAATTTGCTAGATAACATTGCTGTGTAAGCAAATCATTTTAATTGTTTTGGATCTGATTTGATGTGGTAAAATTACATGTGTTTGGTAGAGAAGAAGATAGCCAGGAACACCAAAGCTGACCAGATTCCCTGACCAATCAATACAGCAAGATCACGGTCACTGATCTGACAAAATATACTCCATGAAAACTGCGATTGAGTAGTGTTAAAACTCATCCTTGCTATTCTACAACAATCCCGATTGCTTACGTTTTCTCCTTTTGTATTGCCAACGTGCTATCGCTACTAAGTTATCTCTCACTTCAGGTGACAAAAAATACAGGTAACTTCTACAATCCACTTGATGTCCATTTCAACACGTTCAGCTCCACCCTGTATCCAAGACTCCCAACAGAATAACCTTTTTCAATACCGTAATATCCAACCAGTTCAAGAAGGAACTCTGACTTGCAATAAGAGTGGCCTCAAAACAAAACTTTCTTGTTGTCATACTTGTTGGAAACTTAAGGTAAAACAACTGGTGTAAATTTAGAGCTCATTCAGTTTGGTGACGCATTTTTCTTTTCAGCCAATGAAGTTAATAAACAGTTATCGCAGCAAATGTGGCTCTAATTCATTACAGCCAATAAAAACAGCAGAGCCACCACGGTGAAACACAGCCGTAAAGCTTATGTAAAACAGAATTATGTACCAACTTTTTTCTAAGCCATCAGTGAATTGCATCACAACACCAGTAACTTAAGAGGACTCACAAACCAAAAAAGAAACGATCTTTCAACTTAAACCCACATTCTATAGTAGACGGTTACTTCCAATCTTTGCAAATTACCTCAAGCATTAGCCAAATCAGTCGAAACTTTCCATCATATTTTATATAAACAGTGATTAAGAGGTAAATAAACAAAGAACTGTATAGCATTATTGAAAACTGACAGTCATAAAAGACTGTGAAAAATGCTAATTTCATATGCCAGTGACTGCACAGCTTCTCTACCTGTACTTCTGGTTGCTGTGTCACACAACCGCAAAAGCATAGCGACGTTCAGTAAACCAAAATGAAAAAAATGTTTGGTTTAGCCAGAGGCCTTTTGCCATTTACAACAACTGCAAAAAGTATTGCATTCCAGTCGTATTCTTTTTTAATACCTTACAGAGATTTAGTTATAAGAACATTCCCAACTAACCAGTAATAAATTGTTTACTTTTTACTAAAACTACCGAATCGATTAATTCTATGAAATTTCCGAAATCTTTTTGCCGCCTATAATTTAGGCACGATATTTCTAATAATAAGCAAGGCTGAAGTTACTTTCTTTCACTAACAAAAAATGAAATTAACTGTCTTTCAAAATTGTTTAACAACAGTTTAGTCCTTCCATACCTTTTTTCACTTACCTAAAAAACATACTTTTAAAGTGGTACAGCTCGATACGGTCTGTCTTTTAATTAGCAAGGAGGTCAACAATTAATTGAGGGGAGATAATAACAAAATGTCGAAAGAATAAATAAAATTAGGACTGATTAAGGTGGATTACGATCCAATGAAAAACAGTGATATTTGTTATTTCTGAACCACTAAAGTTGCTGAAGATACCCCATAGAGCTTGTTTTCAAAAGACCAAGCATGTTAAAGATACATTCCAACGAACAAGTGCCCTCCGTCTACAGTATGATCTAAACCACCCTAGCAAAAATCATCAGCAATTTGCCTACCATTTGCATTACTGCTTTCGCTGTCTTCTCTTAGAAACACCTCATCAGACTCCTCTTCAAAAGCGGCTTGTTCAGAAACGTCAAAGTCACGAAAACAAATTATTTTCTCGTTATTCTTATGGTACCCGTACCACTCTTCTGATTTTCCTCCAGGAAGCTTGCAAAATATTTGCACAAAAGATTGGTTTATGAACTGAGTTCACTGCTTCGCGAAAGGAAACGAGCAATGAAAATCAAATAAGCTATTGTTTGAAAATTGTATATGGATGTAAAACACCGACCTTCAAAGCGATATTGCGCAACTTATGAACGGTGCCACTTACATACGAAATCTTCCAAACACGTTTTTAAATCAAACTTCAGAAAATCTAGGTGGGGTAAAGGAAGGTCCTGACAATATGACGGAAGCAATTGTGGCGCTTTCACTCTCCTTGCTTTGGCCATTTCATCAACAGCATACCTTTGATAAATTTGTTATTGTCCTGCGGTACTCTGCTTAATTACCTTAATCAGGTCTTGTTTTGAGAGACAAGTTGTTAACCTCTTTGCCCGCTTTACGAGAAGATGTACGCACTTTTATCTAAATGAGTTTTAAAATTTCTGTGTGCAAATGAAAGAGTAACAACGGTCCACCATTCGTCTGATGTAGAAATCCTCGAGAGCGGATGCCACACATGTAGCTTTTACAGAGAAATAGTATGAATCTGCTCAAAGTAAACTGGCGGTTTAAACTCTCAAAAATTGTGATTATCATTAAGACAATGACCCAAGATGAAAGGCTAATAAATGCATTATTCCTCTATCAGTATCCTTTCATTCCTTTCGAAAATAATCTGGACGTACCACAGTACTTTGTCATAACATTTCGTCTATATTCTTCAGAAGCAAGCACAAACAGTTTAAGTTTTCAAAAGTGTTTTTGAATTATCGGCAGTATCTCGTTGATGTAGAAGCTTACAATCATTGAAAAAATAAATTTCGGATTATTGGCTTTCTCACATGTAATAAGAATGGGTAATGACCTCATACCCTCTTTCGACAACCTTAAAAAGATAATTCGACCACGCGTTAATAGGCTTTAACATGGAATGATTAGAAAATTTATTCTGAAGTTGGAAGTGCCAGCACATCAATATCAATTTAAACAAGACGAAAAAGTTCTCATATGAACCCGGCGATAAACAAGTACTCAGATATATCACACATAAATAACTGCACCTAACTGTTATTCGCCTGCTTGGTTTACACTATCTAAGAAACAAAGCAAAGCAAATCAATATGAGAACTTTGT